TTGGGGAAAATTTATCCACCTTGAGACCATAATGCTAAATGAAATAAATCAGACACACAAACTTAAATATTGCATGGTTTCTCTTATTTGACAAGCCCAAAGTATAAATAAATTAAATGAAAAAAGATAAATAATAGGAAATAAAGAGATAGATCTTTTTCAAATGGGAAGAGAATCAAGAGATAGGGGACTGGAAAGGGTGGAGAGGGAAAGGGGACATAAAAATAATTAAGATGTGTTATGTACATTTACTCCCCCTGATGAATGTAATCATTATGAACTGCAAACATGTACAAATACAAAATAAAAATTGAAAAAGAAGCTCCATTCAAAATTCAGGCTCCTGCAACAGTAACTGTGATCTGATGATACTATAAAATCTAATACACTTCCATAATAGTCATGTGTAATACAAAATTTGGCAGAAACTTCAAAACTTGAGCTTTCATATTTAACATTCTCATTGATCCCCAAATGACATGATTTTCATATATTCCTATTAAAATTTAAACTTATACCATATACCTAGCCTCACTGAGGATATGAAGTGTACACTACACTTTAATCATGACCATCAATATTCTCTGCATATGTGTTTATATGTGTGTGTACACATGTATGCATATCTCCCTGGGGGTTTTTTACATAGTTTTTTCATTAATAGAGCCTAAGCTACAAAGCACTATGACAAATACCATAGGAGATGAGGGGAAATGAAGAGCAAGGAAGGCACTTTCTGTAGTATTTCCCTAGACCCAGCAGATGGTGCTATAGGCACATCATTGCCATCCAGACAGGCAGGACAGTTGTACAAGGGTGGCATGAACATTTTAATTCATCCTTGCTAGTTTCTTTTTTTGGGTGGGATGATTTTCTTAGGTGAGACATTCCATTGCTCAAGAAATAGCTCCACAGCCTGCCTTTTTCAAGACATGAGTAGTTTCCTACTCCTTAGCTATTCCTAGAAAGAAGTAGTTTTGAGTTTGAATCTTGTCTTCTCCACTTAATAGCTAAATGACTTGAAATAAGTTAGACATATTCCCTGAACCTCAATTTTCTCATCTGCAAAATGGTGGCAACAATACCTGCATCATGGAGTTGTGATCAGGATTAGTGATATGATGTGCATCAGCACACAGAGCACTACACTTGGCATTAAGGAGAACACAATGTTTTTTCTTCTAGCAACAAACACACTGAGAGAGACACTCAAAAATCCAGATCATGGTGCATGCTGTAAGAAATTTCGAATCCTAAAATCTATTAGCTCCAAAGGGAAACATCACTAACCAAACTTATAATAAGGGAATCTTCATGCTCAGTCCACACACCAGTAAAATCATGAACCTCAGTTTTAGAAAGAACTTTTGTGATAATCTAGTCCAACTGTTAAATTAGTAATACTCAGTAGGGAGAGAAGAAGCTAAAACTCACATTCAACATACCTCTTGTTTTCATGACACCAACCTGGTAGGTGAGGATATTCAAAGAATAAGGCACTGGAAGGATTAAGTGTTTCCAAAAATTGTAAAATACTATTTACATGACACATGAAAGTCCCCATAATATCCTTGACAATAAATCAGATTATTATAGAGTTCTCTGGACTTGTAGTCGATGTAGAAACTGAAATTTTCTTCCCTACATCAAACCAAAATTTACCACCCTTTGATGAGCCTAAGGTCCCCTACTCTGACTTCCCCTCCACCCCACACACAATGAAGTTCACAGACACGTGCACTCTTCCCCTTCACAAGACTTAGTGCCTCTGATGTCTCATACACACTTCCCAGCCCTGCTCTTACATGTAAGATTTTCCTCTGCCAAAGAATTTTCCCTGCCAAGCAAAGGAAGGAGCCAGAAGTAGCAAACTATGAATCACAGGCCATATGGAGCACATCATCAATTTTTGTACAGCCCAGAAGTCAAGAATATTTTCTATATGTGTAACTGGTTGAAAAAAAAAAGTGACATGAAATTCAGAGTTCAGTGTTCATAAGTTTTATTGAAAACAGCCATGGTCAGTTGTCCACTTATCATTTATGATTATTTTCAGGCTAAAGTAGCAGAGATGAGTGGCTGCAACAAAGACCAGCTGGACCACAAATCTTGTCATATTTATTATCTAGGCTTTCACAGAAAAAGTTTGCCGAAAAAGTTTGCCGAAAATGTTTAGGAGAACCCTTGTCTCAAGGACATGTTCACCTGGGATAGTCTACAAACAGTCCTTTCCTCCCTCTGAGACAAGTGGCTCCCACAGGAAATTAGTCTTCTCTCAGCAAATTCCACCTCCCCTTCACTCCCACAGTCTCAGTCACACCTTTAAAAAGGTTATCACTCTGACAAGCACGGCAACCTGGCCCAAATCCAGGGCCCAAAGGGAGCACAACTACAGACTGGATATTGATTCCATAGCCTTCTGGGTAGTTTGTAGAAGAAAACACACAGGATAATGATGGCTGAATTTGGAATCATGTAATTATCATTTGCCAATAGTTGCTACTGCTCCTTCTCAAATCCCAATTACGATATTGCTCATGTTGTAAGTCTATGTAACTTCAGTTTCAGTAAAATTTGTGGCATATTTTCACAATGGAGAGAACGTGAGCAATGTCCTTAGGGGTAAGCAGAGAGCCACTCATTGAATCCCAATGCTAAGATTCAGATTATATTGGGGTGAAATCATGCCTTGTGAGGGGAAGATGGCACAAGAGCAGGCAGACCCTAATCCTACTGTGAGAAAGTTGGTCAATGTAAAAAGATTTGTAGTTAGGACCCCTTTTCCACTTTGAATTCAACTCAAAATGACAGACATTTATTGGAGACCTTGCTGTGTCAGTAATATATTGGGTCTCTAAGTGACATGAGAATAAATGATGCCCATTCCCTGTCTCAATGACCTTATAGACTAGAAATTATACAAGCATATAGACAAATGTGTATAAGAATAATTAACCAAATGATTAATATTGAATCAAATAATTAATAGTAGTTATTTATGGCTAGTGGGTTTACAGGAGTTTTCATTTTCTTTTCACTTCAGTATTTTCTAATTTTTATACTAAACATTATTGCATAGTAAGACAATTACGAAAAATAAAATATTCTGAGTTATATAACTATAAAATTATGAGTTAAGTAATCAATTATAACTCTTTCTTGAGTAATTCAAGAAAGATTTCGCACAGGAAGGCTAACGGGGATTCTGAACAATTAACAGGAGTCACCAGGCAGATAATGAAGAAAGATATACCAAGAAAAAGAAACTTGAAATAGCACTGTGAATTCAGGAAGGTTGAAATAGGTAATTATAAGTGGAACATAAAAGGAAATATAGAAAGAAAAATGGAACTGGAGAACACCCACATCCCAGATCTTGAGGAACAAGAGATACCATGTTATAAAACATACTTTTCTTCCTCAGGTTATATGGTGGTTGAAATGAAAGCTACTAAATTGAATTAGTTAAACAGATTCAAAAGACAGCCTCTGCAGCCATTAATCATTCCAAGAGGTAATAATAAAATCACAGATGACATCTTGGACAGAATCTTATATAGATGATCTTTAAGGTTACTTTTGAACATTAAATTCTATGATTCTTTGACATTAAGGCCCTGATGTCCCTGCACATACTCTATTCAACCTCTATCGAAGTACACACAGTCTGTTGTCGATGCATTGTGCCATTTAGTTGGGTGAATACATGAAGAGGCCTTCTTTCAGTGTCCTGCGACTGGCGGGTGGGGCTGATACTAGCCCAGATCCGAGAACTACTTTTGCAGTCTCAGGTGAGCATGTAAGGAAGAAGGTAAACACCAAGAAGGTGGAGATGGAGAAGGAGCTGGACTTGTTTAGGAGTGTATTAGGACATCTCACAGAGTGCAGCTCCTCCCTCATATGGACCATTATCCCTTGTATAAAAAGGCCATTATCCCCAATAGCAGCACCCTGCAAGCTGCTCCAGTCTCCATCCTACTGTTCCTCTGGTGAACTAGGTAAGTAAGCGGGGTTCAGTACTGCTCATGGATTCTTCAGGGTATAAAATTATGAATGTCTAGGATGTGCTCTAAATCACTGGAATGAGTGTGTGTGTGTGTGTGTGTGTGTGTGTGTGTGTACGCTTTAGATAACTTTGGTATATGTTTTAACTATTGAAAAAGAAAATGAAGCAATGACCAATTATATGTAGGATATCCTTTCTTTTGGGTCTTTGCTATCCACTAGACAAGGTCCCTGTTTTACTGCTGAGCCTTTTCTTCATGCTGTATGACCAGTAAAGCCTGAGGGTCGATCCCTGTGCGGAGAAGCAAAATCTGATAGCAGCTTCCCCCTGGTTTCATGTCTCCTAAGCCTGTGGCTGGTTTTGCCCACTTTGTCTACCTTCGCTATTCAACAAGTCTTGAAAATCCAATTTAGCCACTGGTGCTCTTTAGCTGGAATCTGGGATGTTATGTAGATCAGAAACCTCTCCCCTGGAGTGTGATGGTTGGAACCTAGAAAGAAACAGGAAGTGAATCAACTGGCAGACTCAGGATTTCTATAGTTCCTGAACAAAGTTCATGCCTGTGGTAGAGGTAGGGAGCCCAAAACAGAAAACTGTCACTCCTACATTCATTTAGTAATGGAAATACAAAATATAGATCCTGTTCCTAATTTCATCATTCTCTTGCTAAATGGCTTCAACAAGTCATTCAATACTGGAGTACTTAATTAAAACAGAATAAAATTATTCCTGGTTGAAAATTCTTACAAATGATTAGATCTATTTATGTGTTAAAGCAAGAAAAAAGGAATAATCACACATGGTAGCTTATGGCTGTAATCCTAGCACTCAGAAGGTTGAGGCAGGAGGATCACCCTGAGTTTGAGACCAGATTGGGCTACACAGTGAGTTCAAGGCCGGCCTGAACTACATAGCAAGACTCTGTCTACAAAAAAAAAGAAAGAAAGAAAGAAAAAGAAAAAGGAATAATAAGAAATAAGAGGTATATCTCTCCCCACACCCTTTTTAGGTTAACTTAAATTTGCAAAAAGATGCCTAAACTCCTACAAGGCATTGTCACTGTCGTCGATGTTTTCTACCAATATGCTACCCAGCATGGGGAGTGTGACATGTTGAACAAGGAAGAGCTGAAAGAACTTTTGGAAAATGAGTTTCGCCAAATTCTAAAGGTAATAACTCCACGTTAGGACTGAAATTTGTAATTCTCTCCTTTGCTCTTTCCTAACCTTTTATCATATATGCCAGTCATCTCAGAGGACTCTCCCTACTTGGCAATACAGAATTGGAATTTGGTCAGCTTGAGATACCATCAAAAGTTAATCCACAATGGTGTATATAATATGACCAAGTAAATGATCCTACCAAACATCAGACAAAATCTATAGGTTTTTAAAATGTCATATCTATGGGAGCAATTGTGACCATCCTCAAAAAAAGTTACAAAGTATGTGAAATGCATCTTCGTCCTCATCTTCCTCTTTCTTCATTCCAGAATGTCCAGACACTGCCCATTTCTGAGATTCTGGTACTAGAAGGCATCTGAGTTTTAGAAATTGCCATTTACACTTGAATCACAAGAGCAACCACTACTCTAAAATTGTCAGCTCTAAAAATAGGTATTTGAGTGCTTAAATCTAGCTCTCCTGCTTCAATTCCTTAAATTCAACTGCCTACTGAATATTACTTAGATTCCTATGGATGTCTTAAATTAAGTTGGTCAGATATGAATCTCATTATCTTCTCCTCTAAACTTTCCTTCCCCTTTCTGCTCAAGGTAGAAATCTGGTGCCATTCTTGACGTCCTCGCTCTCAGCTGGCACCACCACTTTCCTACCTCCATCTAGTTCATCAACAACCCCCGTCTCTGTACCACTATTGTTCATCCACCTCGTACTTCCAATCTCACCATTAGATGCTCAAAACCCTTCAACAACTTGTATCTGCTCTTAATACAAAATCCAAAGTTCCTTAACATGACTTAGAAATTTCTACCTAATCCCTACTTATCTCTCCATTCACTTTTTTTTGTATCTTCAGACCCTAAACCCAGCAATTCTTTCAGTTGAATGAGCCATGCCTTCTCTGACCTCTAGCCCTATGTTCATATCACCTCTTCTGCCTGGGACAGTCTTTTGCCCCCTCTCCTTTCCTTTCTGCCTCTTCATTTGGCTAAGTCTAACCCATCATTCAAAAGGCATTACATCCTCTCATTAACCTTTCTTAGACCTTGAATAGTTCCCTTCCAATGCCCTCAGAGAAACCTTACCACAATAAATTGTAATTGTAAGTTTGTGTATCTGCTGCATTAAACTTCAAGCTGCATTTTGTCAGAACCAGTCATGTTTACTGGTTTATTCCCTCATATAACACAATGCCAGGCAGATAACAGGTAATAATAAGTGTTGAAAGAGTTAAATAATTAATTTAATTGGACAAATAAAGATGTATATAATTAATTCAGTTATCTAAAAATTATTATTATTCATAAATTAACTAATTATTTCTATTTGACCATTCTTTACCAAAAAAACTGGTCCTCTGCTCCCTTCCACCTTCTAGTTGTATGCTCTTCTAGCTATTTTGCACTGCATTATTCATTGCATACTCCTTTCTCTCTTTCTGCTGAAAATAGGGCAATCCAGGCCAAAGTACTATGTGATTTAGCTCCACCTAAATATGCCAAGCATCACATTTGTACAGCCTTCCTCCAGCTGGTTAGTTGGGTGTATAATCCATACTGACAGAGCTTCCTTTGTATCTTATTCCTACACAGAATCCAGATGATCCAGATACTGTAGATATCATCATGCAAAATCTGGATCGAGACCATAATAAACAAGTGGATTTTATTGAGTATCTTCTGATGATCTTCAAGCTATTTCAGGCTTGTAATAAAATCATTGGCAAAGACTACTGCCAAGCTTCAGGGTCAAAGCAGAAAGATCACAGTCACCAGCACCAAGAGGAACAGAGTGAAACAGAAGAAGAGGAAGGAAAAGGGCAAAAATCCTCTTCCACTTATTCAAGTTCAAGTGCAGGAGAGAATGGTTCCTATTCCAGGGGCTCCAGAGGAAGCACTGAGCATAAGCCTAGGTCAACCTCCAGAAAACTGAGGCATCAAGGAGACTTGTCTAGTTCTGAGCACAGGGAAAGCTCTGAGGAAAGGACAGAGTCAAGTTCAAGCCACTTCAAGAATAGTGAAAAAAACAAGCATGGCTCTCATCAACAATATAAGAAAAAAGGAGGCCAGTCCCCTAACCAACAGCATCATGGATTCAGCTCAGGGAGCTGCGAAAAACAAGACTACCAGTCAAGTTCAAGTGACCTTACTAGTCAACAACAAAAATATGGTTCTGAACCAAGACAGTCCTCAAGTTATGAAAAGTATAGGTCTGAATCAGGCAAGTTCACAAGTAATGACAAAAATCAATCAAGCTCCTATCAGTCCTCTACTCAGAGAAAACTTAGCAGCAGCTCTAGTCACCAGCTAGGAAACTATGGAAGACAAAATCATGGATCTGGAGCAGGTCAGTCCTCTGCCTTTGGTCACCATGGGTCTGGCTCAGGACAAGCTTCCAGCCAGGGTCACCAAGAGACTAGATCTGGAGAGTCTTCTGGCTATGGGCAATATGGTTCTGGGTCCAATCATTCTTCTAGGCAAAAATACCATGAATCCAACTCAGGTGGTCATTCAGGGAGTTGTGAAAATCAAACACATAGCTCTGGATCAGGTCAATCCTCTAATTATGGAAAATATGGATCTGGCTGTAGCCAACCTCCTAGTCAGAAATACCATGAGTCCACCTCAGGGAGTTATGAACAATATGGGTCAGGGTCAGGTCAGTCATCAAATTATGGACAGCACAGCTCTTCAACTGGTCAATCCTCAAGCTTAGGTCAACATGGATCGAGATCAGGTCAATCTTCTAGCCATAGTCAACACAGTTCTGGTTTAGATCAGTCATCTAGCTATGGCCAACAGAGTTCAGGCTCAGAGCAGTCTTCAAGATATGGTCAATATGGATCTGGATCAGGCCAATATTCTAGCCACAGGCAACATCAATCAGGTTCAAGAGAGTCATCTGGTTTTGGTCAACAAGAGTCTGGCTCAGGAGGATCTTCTGGTTTTGGTCAACATGGGTCTGGATCAGGTCAGTCTTCTGGCTTTAGTCAGCATGGATCTGGTTTAGGTCAGTCCTCTAGTTATGGATATCATTGTTCTTCATCAGGACAGTCATCAAGCTGTGGCCAACATGGATCCAACTCAAGTCAGTCTTCCAGCGGTGGACAGAATGTGTCTGGATCAAGTCAGTCTTCTAGCCACAGGCAATATAGGTCTGGTTCAAGTTCATCTCCTAGCAGTGGTGAATATGGCCAACACAGATCCAGATCAAGCCAATCTTCTAGGCACAGGAAATATAGGTCTAGTTCACAGCAATCTTCCAGCAGTGGTAGATACAGGTCTGGCTCAGGTCAGTCTTCTAGCCACAGTCAGCATGGATTTGGATCCAGTCAGTCCTCAAGGTACAGCCAACATGGGTCTAGGTCAAGTCAGTCTTCTGGTTTGGGTCAATATGGATCTGGTTCAGGAAAGTCATCTAGGTTTGGGCAACATGGCTACAGCTCAGGACAGTCCTCTGGCTTTAGTCAGCATGGATCTGGCCTAGGTCAATCCTGTAGCAACAGGCAACACATTTCATCATCAGGAGAGTCATCAAGCTGTAGCCAACAGAGGTTCACCTCAGGTCAGTCTTCCAGCTATGGTCAGCATGGATCTGGTTCAAATCAGTCTTCTAACTACAACCAATATGGGTCTTCTTCAGGACAGTCCTCTGGCTTTGGTCAGCATGGATCTGGCTTAGGTCAATCCTCTAGTTATGGACAACATGGTTCCTCATCAGGACAGTCATCAAGCTGTGGTCAACATGGATCCAGCTCAGGTCAGTCTTCTAGCTACAGTGGATACAGGTCTGGCTCAGGTCAGTCTTCTAGCTGTAGCCAACATGGGTCTGGATCCAGTCAGTCTTCAAGGTATAGCCAACAGGGGTCTGGATCAAATCAGTCTTCCACCTTTGAGCAACATGAATCTGGCTCAGGTCAGTCTTCCAGCTTTGGCCACCATGGGTCTGGCTCGGGACAGTCTTCTCACTTTGGTCAGCATGGATCAGGTTCAGGTCAGTCTTCCAGCTATGGTCACCATGGGTCTGGTTCAGGTCAGTCTTCTAGCTATGGTGGATATAGGTCTGGCTCAGGTAAGTCTTTTAGCCATAGCCGACGTGGATCTACATCCAGTCAATCTTCAAGGTTCAGCCAACAGGGGTCTGGACCAAATCAATCTTCTGCCTTTGGGCAACATGAGTCTGCCTCAGGTCAGTCTTCTGGCTTTGGTCAACATGGGTCTGGCTCAGGAGAGTCTTCTGGCTTTAGTCAACATGGGTCTTGTTCAGGTCAGTCTTCTAGCTATGGTGGACATAGGTCTGGCTCAGGTCAATCTCCTAGCCATAGCCGACATGGGTCTACATCCAGTCAGTCTTCAAGGTGCAGCCAACAGGGGTCTGGATCAAACCAGTCTTCTGCCTTTGGGCAACATGAGTCTGGCTCAGGTCAGTCTTCTGGCTTTAGTCAGCATGGATCTGGCTTAGGTCAATCCTCTAGTTATGGACAACATGGTTCTTCATCAGGACAATCATCATGGTGTGGTCAGCATGGATCCAGCACAGGTCAGTCTTCCAGCTATGGTCAGCATGGGTCTGAATCAAATCAGTCTTCTAGCTATAGCCAACATAGGTCTAGATCATCTTCCAGGCACAGGAGATATGGGTCTGGTCAAAGGCAGTATTCTGGTTTTGGTCAACATAGGTCTAGCTCAGGTCAGTCTTCTAGCTTTGGTCAACATGGATCTGGCTCAGGTCAGTCTTCCGGCTTTGGCCAACATGCATCTGGCTCAGGAGAGTCTCCTGGATTTGGTCAGCATGGATCAGGTTCAGGTCAGTCTTCCAGCTATGGTCACCATAGGTCTGGCTCAGGGCAGTCTTCTAGCTATGGTCAACATGGGTCTAGCTCAGGTCAGTCTTCCGG